TGGATTTGCAAATTTAAGGCATAGTGCCTAAAGCATTTGACTGCTAACCAGAAGGCTGGTGGTCCAAACCCACCAGCCACTCCTCGGAAGGAAGGTTGGGCAATCTACTTCTGTAGTGATGCTGCCTCAGAAACCCAAGGAGGGGTTGCTATGAGTCCGATCTGAATCAATGGCAATGAATTTTTCTTGAGTTTGCATCCTTCTTCTATTTCATTTATTCCAAGTTGTAATTGCAAATAATTCTAATATTTCAAAATCTGAATTTATTTGTCAAACTGCCTGGGTATAATGTGACACAGTTTTCAGATTGTGAAATATCTATCTGAGAAATCAGCATGACTTGTTCCAGGTTTTTTCAAAATAAATTTAATATAAAGTTACCATGAAAACTAATTGATGCTGTGGTTAACCACTTGGCTGCTAACCAAAAGATTGGCACTTCGATGGCACTTCACTCCACCAGCTGCTAAGTGGAAGAAAGACATGGCAATCTGCTTTCATAAAGATGATAGCCTTGGAAACTGTGCAGCAGTCCTACTCTGTCCTATGGGGTTGCTATGAGTTGGAATCAACTCAACGGCAACAGATTTTTTTTTTTTTAATAAAATTTCTATACTCCAGTTATATTTCTTTTATATTTATAATTTAGTAATTATTTTAGAAGAATCAACATTATAGTTTCCAATTGAAAGAATGACTGCTTAGAATCATTTTATTTCATGATAAAGCAATTGTATTCAAATTTATTTTAAACTTTAAAAGCATTTTTATGTTTTAAAGCAATCAAAATAACCAAAGGTCAAGCAGGTCCTTGATACCTGGACAGCTTTTCAAATGTTTTTGTTTCGCTTTAGAACCAGCAAAGGACATTAAATTGCCTTTAACAAACAATCATTTGACTCATCAGTTTTTTATTTTTTCTAGGTGTTTTTTTTTTTAAATGCCAATATCTCGTGATTATTTCACTATAATGTAAGTTTGCATAAAAATCTGATCTTCCAAATATCAACCAGATGTCTTTCTTAGATAGGAAACATTTAAATTATTAAAGCTACACAGCTTATGGAAAACAAATGGTTATTAATATTACAAGGACTTTTAAAAAAATTAATTCTGAGCAAATATAACTATAGATGATCTGTTTAAAGGAAACTATAGATGACTAAATATTGGTGGCTACTGTTAGGGGTGAAAGACTAGATCATCTTTAATGATTCTTTCAGCTCAATTTTTTACTGATTCTAGTACTCATTCATTCAGCCAGTCAACAGTTTACTGAACACCTACCAAGTGCCAGGCACTGTTCCAGGCATCAGTGATTAGTCAAAAACCTTTGTCTTCATGGAACTTACATTCTTGTGGAAGTGATAACAATAAGCAACATAATTAACAAGTTGTATGAAAGAAGGGCAGTGGTGAGTCAGTGATAGAATTCTCACTTTCTGTGTAGGAAATACAGGTTCCATTTCTGGCCAATACACCTCATGCACAGCCATTACTTGTCCGTCACTGAAGGCTTGTGTATCGCTATGATGCTATACAGGTTTCGGCCAAGCCTCCAGACTAAGGCAGAATAGGAAGAAAGGTCTGGTGATCTACTTCCGAAAATCAGCCATGACAACCCTATGGATCACAACAGTCTTATCTGCAGTTGATCAAGGGATGGTGCAGCCTGAGCAGCATTTCATTCTGTTGTTTATGGGGTTGCCATGAGTTGGAGGCCAACTCAATGGCAGCTAACAAGAACAACATGGAAAAAGAAAATGTTGCACATGGCAAGGAAAATTGGACTGCTGGGATAGAGGTAAGTTGCAATTTATAAAAAGGAGGTCAGGGTAGGCCTCATTGAAAAGGTGGCACATCAGCAAAGACTTGAAGGAGATGAGGGAGTTAGTCATATGGTTATGTAGGGAAAGAACACTAGAGACAGAGGGAATACCAAGCACAAAAGCCCTGTCATAGAATTGTTCCTGGAAATTTCAAGGAACAGCAAACAGGCCAATGTGACTGAAGCACAATAAATGAGGGAGTCAGAACAGTAACAGGGAACTAGACCAACACTTTGTAAGCCACAGTAAAGAGATGGGGAGCCATTGCAGGGATTTGAGCAGAGGATTTTCATGCTCTGACTTACATGTTTTAAACTCTGGCTGCTGTGTGGAGAACAGATACTGTGTAGTCAAAGGTTCGAGTAGGGAGACTGTTTAGGAGGCAGTTGTAATATTCAGGTGAGACATGATGGTGCTCCCACCAGAGAAGTTCCAGTAGAATTTGTTATAAGTGTAAGCATTCTGAATTATGAGGGGATTCAGTGGGGGTATAGAGAAAGAGAGGAGTTAAGTTCAACTTCAAAGATTTTAGCCTATTAGCTGAAAAAATAAAATTACCTTCAACCAAGATGGAGAAGAGGTAATAGATTTGGTCTGGATGGATTGTGGGCTACAGGATGCTGAAATAAACAAGGAAGGACATCCCCTCTAGATTCCCATTCTGAATTCAGACTTCTAGCTTCCTGAACTGTTACTTCTGTTCTGATCAATTTCTGTACTTTAACCCACCCACTTCGGTTATTTGTGTTACAGCAGCACTAGGGAACTAAGACACTGCTTGTGAGATGTGGAACCCCCTTGCAGTTCAGCCTTTGGTCCTGTTTCCTGATAGCCAAACCACCCTAAGGCCAATGAGTGGAGGCTAACCAGACCAAGAGGGCTCACCTGGAGGCCTGCTACTAAGTAAGCCTCAGGAGCCTCACAAAGTAATTTACCATGGCCACATGGTGAGGCCAATCAAGGCTTTGGAAGACAGGGTTCAGAGGAGCTTCTGGGTTGGAAGGAATGAACATTTTGCTCTCAGGAATATAGTAGGTCCCTTGGTGAGCATAGGATTTCTGCTCTTGGACCCCTCCCAAACCCTGCCTATGCATTTCTTCATTTGTATCCTCTCTGGTTATGACAAATAGGTAGTTCTAAGTATAGATGCTGCTCCATGAATTCTGTGACTCATTTCAGGAAATCCTCAAACCCACAGGGGGTAGGGGGAGCCAACAGGTCAGAAGTGAAGATGTTGGGTGAACTCCTAGACTTACAGTGATACCCTATTGGAGTTAGAGAAAAACCCCACATTTGGGGCTAGGTAGTCTGAAATTCAGCGTGTTATGTGGACCTCTGTGCTTGTGGCCAGCCCCTGTTGACCTATCCCTGGATGGCTGGGGATTATATTGTTACTGGAGCAATTGGTGATGAGAATGAAGTAGGAAAATTAGGTCTGCATCCTTTTGCAGGTAAGAATTGGATTCATGTTGATCCTGACCATGCAATTAACAATGAAGGTGAGAGGTGCCCACCATGCTTAGTCTTGTTAGTGTACTGCCCACAAAATATGAACACTGAGAGTTGATCATTAATTTTACCAATATAAAGATCTTTTTATTATTATTATTTATTTCAACAAGAACAGTTTTGTTGATGACTGGGGTGAAACCCTGAACAGAGTGCTTTAAGAATGGAAGGAGAGGAGTTGGAGACAGTCAGTATGGACAACCCTTTTAAGGGTTTTGCTAAGAAAGGGATCAAAGAAGTGGGTCAATAACTGGAGGAGATGGTAGGGTCATGAGAAGTACTTTGAAGATGGGATATATTTCAGCATGTTTCTGTGTTGATTGGAATGGTCCAAAGAAAGCCAAAGATTACAGAGAGAATGAGGGAGATTGGCTGGAATGATGTGCCTGAGAAGGCAAGTGAGAATAGTCTAATGCACAAATGGACAGACTGGTTTATTTGGAAACAGATAATCTATGGTAAGAGGTAGAAAGGCCAGTTATGTGGGTACAGGTGCTTAGGGAATTCTCTTTTGATTGCTTCATTTTTCTCATTGAAATAGGAAAGAAGACTATTATTGAGTTGCAAGCCAAGGATGAAGGAATAGGTTTTAGAAGTTTCAGGAAAGAGAAGCAGGAGTGAAATAATAGTCATCTGAGAAAAGGCAGAAGTAGGAGGGTGAATGGACTGAAAAAGAATGATGCGATTATCAGGCATCAGTCATGAGTATGAAGTGCCACCACGCAGCATGGTTATGTTGAAATCCACTAGAAATTTTAAAACGTCTTCTTAGCCAATTGTTTTAAAATTCTACAAAGAATCACTGTTTCCAATGGCAAAACTAGTTTGCTTGGCTGTGATCTTTCTTTATTTTTAAAATAGCTTTTCACTGATGTTTAACATATGGATTATACACATTTATTCTTTTCTTTTTCTATCATCTCTCCTATGAATAGCACTAAGTAGGAAATGACCAAAAGTGAGCCAGAGAGAGGGAGGAGGAACAAGATTTACTAATCAGCCCTGAATAATCATGAATGCCTGCTCTTCTCTCTTTACAACTTTCAGTTTAAGTCACTGATTGATAATGAGTAACCATTTTGTGCTGAATACTGTGCTCAGCACTAAGCAGATAAGCATAAATTTCATCCCTTCTTTCCTTGTGGGAGGGAGAATGGTTTACCAGTGTTTCTCTTATGTCTGAAGCCCCAGACCAGCTCAAAAACAAAAAAACACAATTTCCATAGAGTCAGCCCCAACGCATGGCAACCCCATGTGGGTCAGAGTAAAACTGTACTCAGCAGGGTTTTCATTAGTTGGTTTTTCAGAAGTATATTGCCACATCTTTCTTCTGAAGCACCTCTGGGTAGACTCACACCTCCAATCTTTTGATTAGTAGCCCAGCATGTTGTTAACCGTTTGCACCATCCAGGGACTCTAGACCATTTCTAGATCCATGTATTTAGTTGTGAACACAAAGGGAATGCATTGGTTTGGACTCATATTAGGGTGCCAGGTTGTATGCAAAAGTACTAGACTTACTAGGTAAAGTTTACAGTCTCTCTCACATCTCATGTCTGCTCTGAGGCATGGGCTCTGTCTTTGTCCACAGAACTCTGTCTGGCAGCTGTGGAACTGTAAAATCTGGAAACAATGACTCTTCGTTCCATTCTTGATTTCCAGGGCTGGGGAGCTGAGTATCATCGCCAGGATGTCACAAGCACCCCCTGCTGGATCGAAGTTCATCTTCATGGACCACTGCAGTGGTTGGACAAAGTTCTGACTCAGATGGGCTCTCCACATAATCCGATTTCTTCAGTGTCTTAACAGTGCTCTCTTAAGATATATTTCTATAGAATACATGCTATTGTAGGCAGTGGCTTATATAATTTCAGATTTGCAATTAATGGAAATTTCCAGTGCATGTAGGAAAGCATATAATATATACTATTCTCTTTTTTCTTTTAATCACCATTTGTTTTGTGCTTTCTAGTTACCCTGATGTCAGTATAGTGTGATTAGAAAAGCAGGAGTATCATCCCATACCATCATAAGCAACTACTTCTGTGGGAGGCAACAAGTGAAAGGCAACTGAGTTAATAGTATTTGAAAGGTATTGGCAGAATCAAAAATAGCTTTAATAATTTATGTCATTCTAAGGGCCAACTCGACGGCACATAACAACAACAACAAGGTATTTTGTGTAGCTAAATGGAAAAATATTAAAACTGTTTATACAGGAAATTCAGGTACTATAAGCACTAGAGAAAATAATACTATCAGACAAAACAATCAAACCCCTGTGGTTTAAGTGATCTCACATTTGGCAAGAAGAAACACCAAATTTATATAATCAGTTATGGAGGATAAGCCACAGAGAACTTTTTAATTGTGGTAAATATATATGTGACAAAGCATTTGATCTTTCAACAGTCTTCATAGGTACAGTTGAATAATATTAATTATGTTCTGAAGTTGAAATACCTATAGCTGGACTATTGTTCTGATATTAATGGTACATTTGAAACAAGTTTAAACTATGATTGGAAAAGAAAAACTGTGAAGCTAGGAGTTATGTTGCTTCATAATCTGCCATTATTAAAAAAAAAAAAAGTTATGAAAATAGCATGAAATGAGTTATCTTCCCAAATTGCAAGACAAAACCAGAATTTAGCCAGCCATCATCCTGGGAGACTCCTGCTTTCCACAAAGGAAACCACGTTCTCATTTTCTGGGTTACTCATGTCAGCAGTGCTGCAGACATCTGAGTCTGCACAGTGCAATATTACCATTTATTTAAGTCCTGTATAAAGAAAAAGCATGTAAAGACGTGGACAAAGCACCATAAGTTTACTTATATCTTCTTACATTCCCACATTAAAGTGTATGGGAAAAGCACATTTTTGCCACATTTTCCTTATCTTTTGACAAATACTAGCTATTTACAGATTAAGGAAGGTTGGGCAATCCTACTTCCCTAGTGATACTGCCTTGGAAACCCAAGGAGGGGTCGCTATCAGTCGGGGCCGACTTGAGGCCGACTTGACGGCACATAACAACAACAACAACAAATCTAAGGAGGGGTCGCTATGAGTCAGGGCGACTCAACGGCACATAACAACAACAACAACAAAAGGATGAAGTTTTTTAAAAAATCTAGACAATGTTGAATTAAATTAATAAGTTTAATTTAGTGTCTCAATTAATTAAATCATCTTCTGGTCAAATCTGCTAGCCTCTTACATAGCTGAAGTCTCATACAAGGAAATATCTTTCCATGTAAAATGGTACTAATTTCATAGTCCACCATAATTTCTGGAGAACAGTCATACTAAATAAGTTATATCTTTTTAAAAACATATGCAATATTAAGACCCATGGGTGATAAACACAGGAAACTTTCCCACATTTCAAGGTACTTTCACATATAATTACCACTCACTAAGCTGCATTGCTTGGGAAAATATTTTGCATCCTCTTAAAAATGTATAATTCAAGAAGGCATTCGTGCTTGTAATAGACGGTACTTCAGTAATCCAAGAGGTTTCTTCATTTATACATTCTATTTAGCTCTTTCTAGCATTAGTGCACACAGTAGTTGTTTCTCATTAAATTGTATTCCGTGTAGAAAGATCATGTGAAAAAGATACGAGTGACCTTCTACTGTCACCTCTTGTAATGACTAGTGTTATCTGATAGAAACTTTCATATATATAATAGAAAATAAATACTACATTTTGTGTTAAAACTAAGTGGCATATAGTGTTTATAAGCACCCGTAGCTTATGTCTTGTGCACTTCTATGTGCAGTGCTAGGTATTGTGGAATCAAATGTAGATGCAAAACAATCCCAGCCCTTATGGAGCTGTCTAGTAGGAAATCTGTTCATACAGAACCTTCATGTTTCAGAACTTTCAAAAACAAACATGTGATCTTTCCTTTGTTTGGGGGCGGTGGGGAAAGTGGTTTTTTAATTATCTCAACTTCAAAACTTTTATTTCCCTTTACTTCTGTGTCTCAAAGTTGTTTTTTTTTTCTCCTTTGTTTCTACTTTTCCAATAATTCTCCATCTCCCCTTCTCTTGAAAAAGGCATTCCTCATACAAATGCCCTCACATAAGAGAACATCAAATAATGCAGTTTTTGTTCCAGAGATCAAGCATAACTTTCTTGATCTTTCCAACCAAAACAAACCTGTTGTCATTGAGTAACATGGCAACCCCATTTGTCATGTAGAACTGTGCTCCACAGGGTTTTCAGTGACAGATATTTTGAAAGTAGAGATAGCCAGGACTTCCTTCTGAGGCAACTGTGAATGGACTCAAACGTCCAGCCTTCAGTTAGCAGACAAGTGTGGTAACTGTTTGCACTACCCAAGGACTCCTTAATCTCTCCACAAACTGTTGAACTCATCCTTTGGGAATTTTATACCTTTACAGAATTAACCTCACCTGGTTGTTTATAAATGACATTTAGAGAGGAAGGGAGAGAGAAAGAGAAAACTTTGGATTTTCATGCAACTTTGGGGGCATAGTCTTTTGATACACGTGAATAGTTATATGGGAGCCACTCCCTTAGAAGGAAGACTGGGCAATCTACTTCCATAGAGATACTGCCTCGGAAACCCAAGGAGGGTTCTCTATGAGTCAGGTCCTAGTGGACGGCAATGAGTTTGGTTTTTTGGTTTTTTTTTTAAAAAACTAAGACAAAATATTCACATTACCTCTAATTACTTCTGTGAAAATAAATCCGTATGTAAGCATCTGATATCACCATCCGTGTTTCACTAAGAGCCTTTATGAGGATACGTTTAAAATTCAGAGGACTTAGAATTGATGAGAATTTAACCCTTTAGACCTTGTAACACTAAATCAGCCTTGTTTTTTTCTTTTGCTGCCAAAAATTGCTAAAAAAATTAAAATAATAAAGCAGTATTTGATTCTAGACTTCTAAATATGCTCATTTAGCACTCATTCTTTGAGGCAGGCAATCCAAAACAACAATGTAACAGCATTTTTTTTTTTTTTACAGGATAACTAGCAAAGTGGACATGCTAAGCATTTAAATACGTCAGCAATTCAAAATATGCTTAAGGTTGCCATGGAAAAGGATCATGTGCCAACAGAGTATAATAATATTTCAGCCTGCTCACAAAACCCAGAATAGTTTGTCTTGTTCAAGCTAGTTTCTTCCCACCCCACCCCACCCCCGTTAAATTGATATATGAAAAGTCTGTTTAAACTAGATGGTATTTTAATAGCTGCCAGTGGTTGGAACCATGAAGATGTCACTTTTCAGCACATTTATTTTCTGGTTTCTGTTTTTTTGTTTGTTTGTTTTTTACAGTCAGTATAAATCAGGAAAAGTCAGCCAACACCATAGGATTTAGAATCTCCCTTTTTATTGCCTTCTAAGGAATTGGATATCCCCATAACGACAACAAAAAAAAAGAAGCATTTTATAAATATAACTTGCTAGACTTGCTAGCTCCTGCTTAACTTGAATGTGTCCTCACTGTCTGGTAAATGTATTCAGTGTAGCCAAGTATAATGTACATTCCAGATTTTGTCTTTCCCTATTATGATTTAATACCTGAACTGTGTAACAAGATTAAGTGATCCTGACATATATTAAAAAATAAGCTCAAGTTAATGTAAAGCAGATAAACTATTCTGAGTGCAGTAATGCTTTCGATTATGACAACTAGGTTTTAGTTATCCTTCAAATGCATACTTACACTGTTACCCGATTGTTTATAATAAAGTATATTGTACCTATATGTCTTTTGGTACATTTTTCTTACAAATCTCACAGAAGATTCACTGCATAAGGGCCTGCAACGCCTAAGAGAATTAAGCTTAAGTTATCCTGTTTTGAAAATGGGATGTTTTAAAAAATCCAGTATGCTACAGAGAAATTAGGTAGTGGTTTTGAATTAACCTTCATGACTGAATTATTTTCTGCTTTGAATTTTTTGTTGTTACCATGTGTTTTCAGTAATGGAAAGCATGCTGAAATCAAGGGGAAAAAAATTGAGGTAATAATGGATTTTGATAACAATTATATGGGTCACACATGTCTCACGTGAACTCTGGTGGTAGGATTGATAGGGTGAGACTCATTTCTTCAGATTCACAGTTATACAGTTCCCCACCTGGCAGTAGCATGTACTACAATTGGGATAGCAGCTTCCTAAGAAACCTGAGAGGCTAAAAATATTGGTGAGTGATACGTGTCTCATGGGTCATGAAAGGATTAAACATCTTAGAATAACTTGCATTAAGTATAAAATAGTGAAGATACTGTGTGGCAAATTCAGAGTGGAAAAGCATAGAATCTTTTTCCAGATATTAGCAAATAGTATGTGATACTTTATATATATATATATATATATATATATATATATATAATATATATGTGTGTGTATATATATATATATATGATAGTATACAGAAGAGAATGCACAATTTCACTATAAACTTCTATACATGGATACATACTAAAACAAAACAGAACAAAAAATCTGATGCTTGTTACAGAGTAGAACTTCAACATAGAGTTTTCTTAGCTGTCATTTTTATGGAAGCAGATTACCAGATCTTTCTTTCACAGTATTGCTGAATGGGTTTGAACCACCAACCTTTAGCTTAATTAACCAGGAGAAAACTGTGCTACTTAGGGACCTTTAGCTAGTAAGAAATTGCTAAGTAAGGCTAGTGAAAAACTAAGAGGAAATCCAGAAGGAATATGGAAAATACCTTAACATGTAAATTCTCAATTTCCTCTGTTTAAATTTCTTTCCTGAAAATGGAGAAAAAAATCCTTACATATTTTTAGAAAACTTAGCTCTCCTATTAACTTCATTAGAATTTTCTTTTCTTTT